GTTCCAACCTGTACCTCCAGGCGACCCTTATTCCTCCGTAGCAACTACATGCCCCACTCTGTAACCCCCAACAAGTCCACCAACATGGTAACACCGAAGTGTCATTCGCATGGTCCGTACCTCTAGTACCAATACCAAGGGGTTAGCGCATATAGCTCTAACATGACACCGCGGCGCTTATACCCTTACCAAAGCCTTTAGCCAGCAAGTCTAAGGCGTGGTTCGTGCCGTTAGCATGATAACCGAGCACTCGTAGTGCTTTCCGCCAACAATTCATTTCCACCAATCATAATCTCATCATCATCAGTCACACCGATCATTACGCAATGACCACGATACCCATCATCATTCAATCAATCAATAACAATCAATACATAACAACAACGACACGTACTACACATAAATTCCTAGAACGGTATTCAAAACATCAAACAAGACTCATACACGTCAAACGGGGTACAACGGAACACAACGGGACACGGGGAAACATCAAGTGGGGAAAAACATCACGACTCACCAACTTTTTCTAGCGGGTGGGCGGCGGGTGGAGGACCACCCACCGGCAGTCGCCTGCTCGGTGGATTTGGGCAGTCTCGGGCAGCGGGTAGGTGGTGGGGATTTGTCCCCCCGCCTACCCCTCACTGGTACTAAGATTGAAAATTTGGTTTCGGGTTCGTTCGAGGAATTCGAAACTATGTCCAAACACATTCTAACACGTGATAACAATGTCACGGATTCAATTAACGAAGATTAAACCAAGAATCATTCCAAATACGTTCTAACACGATTCCTAAACATGCCAAGGCTCAACATCAATCACATAACGGTTCAGGAGCATCCGGAACCACAAGAACCTCAAGAAATCTATATGCAAAGTCCTAAAGACAAGTCCTAGGCTAGACTCAACACCCGATCCAGCATAAACTCACCCAAATATACCAAGAACATCACAACAACGAGATTCACGATATAAACCCTAGGGACAAGCTCTAGACATATTTAAAATACAAGATTACACATATAATCAATCACAACATCAAGATTACCAAGATTATCAAATAAACACAATATAAATCCTAGGCAAGGCTCTATCAAGATTCAATCACAGAATCACACATACAATTATCAAAGGAGCCAATAAATAAGATATAACAAGGAAAATAGTTTTTGTAAGATATGGGTTACCTCTTAGCCCCAGTTAATATCCTTGGCTACTAAGGTTCTTCTCTAAGATCTCCCTCCAATGGATTCCTCTAGGTTCGGTGGTCGGGAATTCCTTTGCTAGGTTTCCTTGGGGAATATCTCGCGTGGTAGATTTAATTGTGGTAGGGTTTCTAAATGCTTGCTAATTCCCTATATATAGATTCAGGAGTCCTAACTAGAATCTGAATAGTAAAGGCCCACTTTTCCTATTCCGAATAGAGTTAAAGACTTGGTTAATGATAAGGGTCTATGATTCATTGTGGACCATACTAATTAATTAATGGGAATTCAAGTCTAATTAAATCCTTTTTAATTATATATTAACGAAATTAATTTCACAATTAGTCCGGATACGGAGACCGTAACACGGGGTGTTACAAAGTGAATGTGGAAGAGTCGCCCCATGTGAAGGTGAATGAGATGCCCCCACTTTGTGCTCTTGACTCTTCTTTTATAGTAGTAGGATGAGTAGTGTAGACTTCCTACCGTTGGTGGGTTCTCCATGCTTTAATTGGTTTAAATGTGAGTTTATGGGTAATTAGGTGGGGGGTTATGGATAATAGGAAATAAATAGGTATTAAATAGGAGGTTAGGATGGGGTAATTTAATAGGTAATGAAATGATTAATAATGTGTGATAAATAAAATAACGGCTAGTTAGTTTAGGTTTTAGTAGGTATCTTGATCGGGTTTGGGTGATCTAATCGGGGCTAGGCGGTTCATTGGGTCCAAATATTGGGTATCCATCAATTATCATTCTAATTTTACCCTACTACCAAACATGCATGTAAAATACTTTCACCAAAACTCATTACTAATACCAAGTATTTGAATCTTATTCTAATTCTGATTCTCATATGCGAACCAAACACACCGTAAATATAATATTTCGTTAGTATGTCTCATGTTAACACTAAACAAATTGTCATGCATAAAAACATCTATAATTTTTATATACTTATCTTATGTAAAATAGTTTTGCAATATGTTATGAGTATACCATATCTTATACTTCAATATTTTTTTAGTAACATCAACTCTATTACGAGGTAATATGTTGTAGCTCAAAAAAAAGTCAATATCCATCCACTGATGTTTGATCCTCTGACCTTCCTTCAAAAAGAGTCACAGTGGTGTCATTGCTAACTGAACACAAGGTGTCTAGCGATGTTGTATTGTTTTAATTACACTTCAGTTTCATTTGACAAAATATACTATTGTATGAGCTGTGTTTATTCGTTTTATTTTACACAGACACTAGTTTTTTTATAATAACGTTAAAATATCATTTTAATTACAGTTCAAGTTTATTTGGCAATATTGAATGAGTTCTGTTTTTTAGTTTCATTTTTTCACATACACACTAGTTTCACTATCGTAACATTGAAGTATCATTATTTTAATTACGCTCAAGGTTAATTTGACAATATATGTTATTGTATGGGCTATATTTTTTTAGTTACATTACAGTAACGCCGAAGTATATATCATTCTAATTACATTTCAAATTCATTGACAATATACGTTATTACATGAGCTTTGTTTTTAGTTTCATTTTCCTCTCAGGGGCGAACCTACAGTGGGGGTAGCTGCCCCCACTCGCCCCACCCCCACCCCTTTATATAACCCTTGTATGTATATGTGAATATATAGTACAAGTTTTGGTATAAGTATTAGAAAATAAAGAAATGTTAACAAAATGTAGCTTAGCCTAGTTGGCTGAGTGTGTGGCTGGCCCGAATGCAGTTTAGGGTTTGAATCCCCTCTATCTGCTTTCAACATTTCATTTTTCTTATTAACACTACCTTTTCTCATTATTTCACATTTTCACTATTATTAATAGTGCATATTGTTTCAACACAATAATATAATCTTCATTTATATATTAATAATGAGATGAGATGTGTAATTTATAATGGATCTTTTATTCAAATTATTTTATCAAATTGATTATGTTCACATTTTGTTATGAATATTTTTATAATGTTTTGATGTGTTTTATAATTTTCTTATATCCAACATTATTTATGGCTATACTTTTTAAGTGTTTTAGTTTTTTTTTTTTTTCTAATTATCTATTTTGCTTTAATATTTTGCCCCCACTGAAAAAAATTTCTAGGTCCGCCACTGTTTCCTCTCACACAAAGTTATTTATTTATCCTTTTAATTATACTACAGTTTCATTTGACAATATAAATATGTGTAATGTAATTCTTCATTGGTTCACGATAATGATAAAAAACGACTTTGTGTTGTTATATTGAATTATAATTCACGCAACACTGTGTGAACAATGGTCCACTGTTTGACAACTACTACTTCATCAAATATGTATACACATCCATTCCAAATTAAGCTACAAGTGTGCGTCCATCGACCAAACCATGCAAAGTATACAATGGACCAAAAAAGTCTAGCTTCTATGTAGACTATGGTTCAATATGTAATTTAAATGATGTACTTGCAATTAATATATTATTTAGTAATTATATATATATATATATATATATATATATATATATATATATATATATATATATATATATATATATATATATCACTGCTGGAAATTTGCCATTTTCCGACCACCAAAAAGTGGTCGGAAATGGCCTTAAATAGGTCGGAAACACCTGTTCCGACCTCTTTTCCGACCAATTTGGGTGTCCAGAAAAATTCCCCACACTATCTTTGACAAACAGAGAGAGTGGTCGGAAAGAGTAACCACTTTTTTGAAACCGTCAGAAAAAAAGGCCAAGATATTAGTTAGGTGTGTTCAGATTTTCCGACCATTGGGGGTCGGAAATTTCGACCACTTTGGTGGTCGAAAAACTGGACGCAATCAATAAAAAAAATTCATTTCACTACAGAGGATTCCTCTGTAATGAAATATATATATATATATATATATATATATATATATATATACATATATATATATATATATATATATATATATATATATATATATATATATTTACTGAAAAACATATACAAATTTCATACACTTAAACACAATTCTTTCATGAATATTTTAGATGATAGCCTTTTCCAATGTAACTTTTTGCTATATATTTTTCTTTACAGTTTATATTCAAAATAAACAAAAGCTATAATCGGTTCTTGAACTAAATGCAAATAAGGTAAATATCGCACTCAATATAGGAACCATAGGTACAGCATCACCAACACGTATTCTTGTTCTTAACAATCTAGTGTATCCACCAGCTCTATCTCTGCAAGTTGAAGAAAATAATGATAGGATTTAATTACCAAAAGCATAAATTCCCTTCAAATAATTATATTAGTAAACTGAAAAGAAAGGAAAAATTAAATTATTCTTTCATTTTTTTCTTTAAAAAAGCATAGAAACACCATACTCTGGATGGTAGTCAATTTGGCGTTTTATTTATGTCCAAAAGGAAAGTACATGGGAGGAGGGGGACAGAACACCTTACCTTGTTTTATGTTACAGAGTACTATTTATTTTTGTCTTCCATTTAAAGATAGGTAAATAAATAACAATGAAGGGAAATGCTCAAGTTAAACCTGAAAACCTATGCACTAAAGCTGAACCAATATAAAGGTAACTGATGAGATGTAGATTAACAAGTATAATAGGAAAATTACCATCTGGTGCAACCGGAGAAGTTGTTCGGAGATATCCAGAATGAACCATGTAACATAACCACAAATTACCACATTAGCATTCGGTAAATAGCTTCACGTCTTAAACAAGAGTGAAATTGGTATCCTGAACAATAACTGACCTTGGACAGAAAAATCCTTGAGACCAATGTAGCAGAGATTGTATACATTTTGGGTAACTTTAGCCTTCTGTAACTTCTGACCAAGTGAAGAAGTACAATCCAAAGCTTGCAAGTTAGTTATAAAGCTTTGCCTTTGTAAGTGAGACACATAGCTCCCCATGGAGCAGAGTGCATCTTACCTTGACATGAACAAGAATGTGCCCATAATGTAATCCAACAACGCATGCTATGGCAGCCATTAAACAACTGAAAATTTTCAATTAAAATGAATAAGTGGAAAACATTTGGATTAAGAAGGGAGAAAAAGGAAAAAGGAGCACTCAAAGTTGAACTACCAACTTGCAACAAATTAGAAGTGATATAAGGAATTAAGAATGTTTATAATCTGACCTTTTTTACATGATTTTGGTAGAAAAATGACATATCTATGTACTTAACCAAAACGTGTAGGATGACTAACCTTGTGGAGACATTAAACCGTGCTAGAAATTAGCACCAATGTGATGTATAAAATAAAGCATTGGTAGAGAAGATCTTGAATTCTCATTGCATGTCTAAATGGATAAAAAATTACTGTAAAATTTGCTAAACTAATCTACTATTATGCTTCATCAAAAGTAAGGACAACGACAATCACTTCAGTGTTATTATTGAAGAGTGAATCACAAAATTTTGAGCACCTTATATGTTTATTTATTAAAAAAAAAGTAAAAAACAATAACAACAAGAACAACATGACCAGTCTGCATTAACAGCAAATCTATATTCATATATAATATCTTGGATGCGTATTATTCCACTAGAGATGTAACAATAGATTAGAAAGTGGTGCATGGTTAGTAATCATCATTCAGAACATAATAGTTACCTCATAAGAAGACACCAGATTTACGATGTTGCGGATTACAAATGCTTCTCATGTTGAAATCCCAAGACAACTGAGGGACAAACCCGAGAGTCTGCGCAAGCAATCACCATAAACTGTCCTTCAAACATGTAAGAATTTTCATCACATGGACTGCATAATTAGGCAAGTAGCAGCACTTAATGATCAAACAGAAAGTTCCGAAAATGAGCAAATGCAGAACATATACCTTTGGTTCTTAAGCATTTGCAAGATCCTTAAAGTATTCCATATTGGCCCTAGTTCAAGAAAAGAAGCAACCAATCAGATTGGGCCACCCCTAACTCGTAAACATAATGAAAGTACATCCCTGAACTTACTAAATCTGCTGGTGACAGATCAGAGGTAATTAGCAGACTCTCAGCAGCAGCCTTGAATGCCAGTATTACACTTCAGTACTTCACAAATTTAAAATAATTTGTAAGTACCTCTACTTTGTCCCATGCTCCTTTTCTGACACCAGTTTTCAAGTTTGAAACAATAACAGAGCTAACTGTCGATGCATACCCATTTGAGTAATCTGCAAATTCAAATTAGATTTTTTAAAAAAAGAAAGCTCATTATCATTCAATTTATCACTTCATTAGATATCTACAATCCCCTAGAGCAAAAAATTTCAAGAAAAAATAACAATAAACAGTTTCATAATAGTATCTCTATCAACAAACTACTGAATCACGAATTTAATTTTTTACCAAAAAATTATATATTATATATATAAAAAAAAACAGAATATCAAACAGAGTGAGAAGGTAAATTAATAACTACCATATGCATTGTTTGATGTTGCAGCAACAACAGAAACAAGAGAGAATCAATTGATGTGTCAATAATCTGCACATTATTGAAAAAGATTATAGCTAGGCCAGCAAAACAAGATATAATGAGATGTAAGTGTGCTGCCACAGTTAACGAATAAGGAATATATATATATATATATATATATATATATATATATATATATATATATATATATATATATTATGAAACAAACAATCCCTCTGTTCCATTTAAATTGGCCCTATTTTCTATTTAGCCTCTCTCATGGCATATGAGAGTTATAGTGTTATAAATTGAGGAATTATCTGATGTAATGCAACAAAAGCAGGGGGTATTGTACGCAGTATCTATCCAGGTCGTTGTTTGCCATCTCAGTTGTCTGTCAAAGAACATATAAGTTTGTTATACAACTACATACATATAATAATGAGACAAAGAATGACTAACATGTTAAATACCTCACCTAAAATTTTAAAGATTTACCTTAAGCTGGACTAGCTGATCAAAATAATGTTTGTCAATGTCCTTGTATTGTGCTTGTTTAAGACCATCTATTTTTGGAGTCAAAAACAGAGATAGAACCACATGATCTATTTAACTGCAAATAAAAGTAATACATTATTGTAACAAGAGTAAAAGAGCATGTTTACAGACCACAACTTTGATATGTGAATAGACAAGGTTAGTAAGACTAAATTCTTAGCAATAAACCAAGTTTTCAAAACTAAATCCTTCCAATAAAGCACATTGAACCGTTCACAGGACTAGAAACACCATATAACCATACCTCACAAAGATATCTAGCATATATTATAACATGTAATACCACATATTTATACAGAAATGCAAACGATTCTTTAGGCATAAACTACATAAACATCTTATCTGTCAAAGTAAAATTCACTCCAGAAAAGTAAATACATAAAAATGTATGTATCAATAAAAATGTATAATCTTGCCTAGCTAGGAGAACCCTGAATGCCTGTGTTTCTTCTGCTGCACATATAACCATTCAACTTAAAAACCAAAGCACATCATATATACAAACAAACCTTTGAAACCAGAAAATCAACTATAAAACCCTAATAGCATATTCAATCCAAAATAAAACTATCTCCCAGCTTGCTAATCAGATTAGTAATCCTCATCGAAAATATCAAAAGCCAACATAACTATACTTCAAATAATCAGGGGAAAAAACTTTTAACAAATATATCATATTGCAGCAGGGGCAGACAAAACGAAAATAAGAGGAAAATGGTTTGACTTAGTAGAAGAGGGAGAAAATTACCGATTGCGATGGTCAGAGCTAGGAAATCAAAAAGCTGCACCGTGCCCCCTATATGATCTGTTCGGCGACGAAGGTAGACGAGTCTTAGGCGACTCCAACAGTGAAGCCCTATGAGAGATGCACCGGCTGGATTGGCTGGAATGGCAGCATAATATAGATTTGGAAATGGGAAATACCTAGGAGGTACAAGGAAGTGTTGGCGGTAGCGAAGGGAGTGACAGCTGCGAAGGAAGTGAGTGTCTAAACAGCAAAGGGAGTGAGTGCTGAGAGCAGTGTATAAGCTGGGGTTGGTTTACATCATTTATTCATTTCTCTATATCTCTAATTTTTCTATTTCTAAAAAATGACAAGAGTTAAAATAATCATTGTCATTTAAAAAATACACAAAGACATCAAATTCTTGTAAATGTATTATGTATTCAATGTGTGTTTAAAGATAAAATACTAACAACAACGGATAAATAAATTGTCGTTTTTTTAAAAAATCAAAGAAAGACAACGATTTTCGACAAAACTATATATTGTCTTTTGCATAAAAGATGTTGTAAAAAATCATTGTCTTTGTATATTTTTCTTGTTATGTACTATTAATAGATAGTTTTGAAGTATCTAATTTGCACAAAGGTATGTGAAATTGATTGTTTATATTGAATATTACGACATTTTAACATACTACCATTAAACTCTGTGTCGTGATCAATTGAAGAAATGCAAGTTAAAATCAAAACATAAAAAAAAAAAAAAGAGTATGCGTAAAATAATTAATGATAAAATGATAAATTATGTGATCGTCATACCATGGGATGACATGAAAAAAAAAAAAAAAAAAATTCCGACCACCTTTGAAGATGGTCGGAAATAATAAATAAGATAAATTTTAAAAATTTAAACAACCAAAAGAAATTTCTGATCACCTTTACTTTGTAGTCTATTTTCCGACCACTAAGTAAGGGTGGTCGGAAATTCCGACCTATCCGTCTACCGTAATCTTTCGACGGAAAAGTGAAAAAAATTCATTTTTTTCGACCAATTTTCTAGGTGGTCGGAAATGTGGTCAGAAAATGAAAAATTTTCAGCAGTGTATATATATATATATATATATATAATGTGTTAACTGGGGTACATAATTTGAATGTTATTTTGACCAAAGTCCACAATATAAAATAGACATGATATAACAATTATATTGTATTACATATACGTAGTTCTTAGCGCTATCAATTTCAACACATTTCCATTAATTACTACAAATTAATTCATGTATTATAGTAACGTAACAAATCCAATTTAGCTTGTAAGAAATGTACTAGGCAATTAATAATGGTTTGGCGAATCATTTAATCGTCTAATAATTTCAGTTATTATGTTATTTATAAATTATTAATATTAGGACATGTTCAATTCATTGACTGTAATTTTTTACATTATATATATAATACTCACACATAAGCACAAATGTATACGCTAAAGAGAACCTGCTTTGTAAGGAGAAAGCAGAAGTAATAAAAAGATGAATTATAATAAGTTCATTGATGTTTTGTTTGTGCTTATAATTGCTTTCCCTTTATTAGTTTCTACACGAACTACACCTCCATCTCCATCTCCATCTCCATCTCCATCTCCATCTCCATCCCTATTTCCTATAGATATTCCAGAAGAAATTGCTAAAGCTATGATAAAAGAAATAAGAGATTGTATTCAGAGACAATTGTATTATCCAGATGCTAGTTGGCCCGTATCACTATGGAATAAAATGCCTTGCGTACAACTGCATAAATGTCACTTTCTTAATCAAGATTGTTAGAAATTAAACTTATTGGGGCCAAATATTGTATTGTATGTTGCTAGCTAACTATTCCTTAGTAATAAGGTAAAATTTGTTTAATTATCTACAATACACAAGTATAATATATCGTTTTCTTTCTTATATATAGGTGGAAATGTGGAATTGTACCATGGATGACTTCACTCTATTATATAATAATTTTGTTTAATTTAACTTTTTTAATTAAAATAATGATATAATTAATTAAAAATAATAATTAATTAACACCATTAAATTCAACCATCACTAATGCCTTCATCAAGTTTTTAAACCCTCAAACTTTCATGGAAATAATGTCAAATAAAACCAATTAATAAAATAGAAGCGGAAGAGAGCTTAATATGCATTCTAATAAAGTTTGATACAAATTGAAATAAAAAATAATAGGAATAAAGTCCAAATTTACCACTAAACATAATCTGAAAATACAAGTAAGCCAATGAAAAAAAATGTAATTAGGCCACTAAACATCACAAATGTATGCAATTTCATCTGATAGCAGGTTACCATCCATTTCATCAGCTTACATGCATGGAAGGTGAGTTGACATTTTAAATAATTTTTAATAATAAACTTTATGTTATAAATAATATATTTAGTGTGGCCCTTATTAGTATTGATTATGTAACAGTTAGGAGATTAATGACTACATTATGTCTTCCGTTATATTTGTATATTATATATTGTGGTTGTATGTAAGATGATAAATAAATAAGATGATTCTCTTGCATTTCTTTTTATTTTCACTCTTGCCTTGTCTCTTACTTTATCTTTTACAATTCCTTTGATCAATCATGTTTGTACTAATGGGTTACAATACGCTATCAGCCACTTAATCCTGGTGAACGGCAAATTTATGCGTTCTTTTATGCCTTGTTATTTCGGGTTGCCTCAAATTGCATATGTTTGTGTTCTGTGAATACAAATTGAGATTATGCAAATCGAGAACTTCAAGCAAACGAAGAGGTAGAAACAAAGATTATACAAATTGCCTAACAATATCCAGCAATCACTCCATTATGCAGGTAGAAGTTCGAAATAATCTTTTCCCTTTGAAAAATTAGTATACTGGCAGAATAGATGGAAAACACAAATATAAAAAATAAAAATCTATCTAACATATCGTTTCTCTTTGTTTCTACTTCTTCGTTCTTCCTTCACCACACTAGTACAGAAACAGTTATTCGCGTCCAAAGTTAACACTAATACGTGTCCAAAGTTGCTTTGACGAGTATGTAGGAGACGCTGATTGTATAAACAATTAGTGTCCAAAGTTACTTTGGACCCGCAAAACTACAATTCGCATCCAAAGTTCAAGAACATTGGACGCGAATTGTAGTTTAAAAAAAAATAATAATACCTTTGCGTGCACGTGCAAAGGTATTTTTTTTTTTTTTTTAAAAAAAAACTACAATTCGCGTCCAAAGTTCTTGAGCTTTGGACGCAAATTATAATTTTTATTTTATTTTATATTGGGATAAGGGTCAAATAGGCCCTCAAACTATACTCAAAACAGCAATTAGGCCCTCAATCTATAAAAAGCTCCAATTGAACCCTTCAACTTGTTCAATTAGTGCAATTCAATCAATTTGCCTGTAAGCTTCAAGTCAATGCTGACATAAGCAACCATGTGGATTAAAAAAAAAAAAAACCTAAATAACCTACGTGTATGCCAACAAAGAAATAACATTTTATTTTAGTTATAAAACAAAAAACAAAATAACTATAATTATAAATAAAACTCTAATCTGTACTAAACCCCAAATCCCAAATGAATTTCACCCCCTCTGTACGTACATGTTCATCTCACGACACCATTTTCGACTCCAAGAATTCTGCTAGTGGACGCCAATCACACCAAAAGCCTTGTTCATATTCACGACACCATTTTCGACATCATTAACGACTTCAAAAGCTATATTGGAAGGCACCATTAACGATTCTAAAAGCTCGGTTGGTAGACTTACTGAGTACTCCAAAAGCTCTGTTGGTAGACACCATTGACGACGACGGAAGAAGAGGGTGATAAAGGAGGTGCTCAGAAATCTCATACAACATTGGCGTAGGTAATTAATATGCTGACTCAATCAATTTTTTGTCTGGCAGTGATTTTTTTTTTCTACTTTTATCAATGTTGGATGGCTTTCTAATATGGGTCCCCACCTTGTAGTCAATAATGGAGACATTTTGGATTATTGTGGTCCTCGAATACATTTATAATTGTTATACATAGTTGTTAGTATAATTTAACCAAATTTATTGTATGTTGTCAGTAGCTTTTTCTTTTATGTTGGTACTATAGCTTGTTTATTGTGGGGTATAGATTGTGTAAAAAATGTATAGTTTTGCCTTTGTTTTAAACTTTACTGATTTCAGTGTGAGGGTTCATAGTTTTCTTAAATGTTTCTTTGTTGTTACGTTGTTTTTGTTGTAGAATGCATTTGGAAGCAGAATTAAGAGTACATCATGGGGGGCATTTTATGAACTCTCCTGTAGTGAAATACATAAATGGAAGGGTGGAAAAGGTGAAAATTGACCCTGATTTAATATCATATTATCACCTATTGAATTATATTACAGTTGAGAGGTATGGTAAAATAGAATCTTTGTCTTTTAAATTGCCCCATGAGGATATGAAGAAACTACAATTGTTGAATAATGATGCTAGTACACTTCTGCTAATTAACTTGGCTCGTAAATGGGGTAAAGTTGACATCTTTGTTGAGCATGTGGTTGATGATGCAGAAATAGTTTCAAATTTAGCTTTACCAATGGTAGAGCAAAGTGTTGTGCATGCGCAATCGGAATTTGAATTAGATGGGGGTGTGATTACTCAACCAACATGTAGTTCACATGCCCAAGTTGATGATTTAGTAGATGAACTACAAGATGAAGGTGATGAAGATGGTGTTAGTGGTGATAGTTCAAAAAGGGTTGATGACGATGAAGAAGAGGGATTAGTTGGTGAGGATTACAACTTTGTTGATGTTGTTAGTGCATATGATGTTGAGTGGACTAGAGTTGAGGCTGAAAGTGAAGATGTGGGAAATGGTGAGAATGAGCAAGTACAAAGTGATTATTATGACTCCGATGACCCCCCGAGTTATCAGTCTGAAAAAGATTATGTAGATGTATCATTTGAGCAATCCAACAAGGCAAAGAGTAGATTCAAACATCCTTCTTACAATCCTAATGTTG